AGGCCATTAGGGCTGACTCAGCTCCTTCATTTCTATGCCTAAGGCTGGAAGTCACAGTGAGTATTTGCCAGAGCCTTTAACCCTGAAGCATATTTTTTGACCTCTCATTCTCTGAAGGCCCTTTCAGCGATGGCAGCCTGGCTTCAGCCTAGGGTAGTCATGTCTATTGTTGTTAATGTTGAAAGAGGCATTCCCCGGCCCTGTGTCAAAGCAGGAGGACCTCAGTTGTTAAGTTTTTTGTCTTTATTCTGGATATTAACCCTCCACCAAATGAAAGCTGGCAAAGATTTTCTATTCTGTAAGTTGTCTCTTTATCTGTTGCCTGTCTCCTTCACTCTACAGAAGTTTTTGAGTTTGATATATAAGCTCATTTGTCAATTTTTGCTTTTGTTTCCTGTGCTTTTGGAGTGATACCAAGAAAATCATTGACTGTACTGATACCTTGAAGTATTTTGCTTAGGTTTTCATGTAGTAATTGTAGAATTTTAAATTTTACATTAAGGTCTTTATAAGATCTTTGATTTGAGTTTTATTCAGGCTGAGAAAAGGGAGTCAAGTTTACCTTGTGGGTGTGGGTATCCAGTTTTGTCTATAAATGTGTGAATTTGTTTCTTGGTTGTTCCTTCCACTTGTCTGTTGTCTGTTTTTATGTAAATATCAAGCTTTTCTTTTGTTACTGTGGTTCTAGAGCATTGCTGGAAATAGGTATTGTGATACCTTGCACTTTTCTGTTTTTGTTCAAGATTGTTTTGAATATTTAGGGCAGTGATGGTGAACCTTTTAGAAATCAAGTGGCCACACTGCAACCGAAAGCCCACTTATTTATGGAAAAATGCCAACACTGCAATTAAACCTGAATACTGAGGTTTTAGTTTAAAAAAAAACAACTGTTATCTAGTGCTCAGCTTCTGCAGCAACTTGGCTTGTTTGGCAAGAGAGGCCTCTGTACACCCACTGCGGTATGTGTGCATAAGTTTGCCACCACTGTTTTAGGGCCTATTTTCCACATGAATTTTAGAACTGTTTTTTTTTCTAGCTCTATGAAAACTGTCATTGGTATATTGATGAGGATTTCATTGAATCTGTAGATTGCTTTGGGTAGTATGCTCCTTTTTAACAATATTCTTTCAATCCAAAACCATGGGACATCTTTTGACATTTTAGTGTTTCCTTTGATTTCTTTCTTTAGTATTTTGCAATTTTCACTGTAGAGGCCTTTTATTTCCTTAAGTTTATTTCTAGTGATTTTATTATTTGTGTTATTGTGAGTGGAATTACTTTCATGATTTCTTTCTCAGTAAATTAATTATTGATGTATAGGAAAGCTACTGATCTTTTTAGGTTGATTTTGTATCACACATCTTTGCATATTGGTTTTAAGAGTCTTCTGGTAGAATTTTTAGGCATTTCTATGTATTGAATAATATCATGTACAAACAGGGATAATATGCTTCCTCTTTTCCTGTTCCTACATTTGTTATGGCTTGTGTTTAGATGTCCCCTCAAAGCCTCACGCAGTCATAGGTGGGGCTTTTACAGAGGTGGATGGATCTAGAGTTGTGACGCTGGAATTGATTCATGGTGCAACGCTAGGATCAAGGGCACTGGGATTAAGGGTGTGAGTTCTGCCTGCCCTACGTTGTCTGGATAAGATAAAAGGGGCAGAAAGATTCTGTTAAGGTCCCTTGCTTATTTTGCTGTGTTCTGCATGCAATGAACTATTTCTCCTTTGTGATGACCCTCTGCCTTGTGCCACTGCCTTGGAACCAGCCAACTGTAAACCTCTACAAACAGTGAGGTTAATAAACCTCTTCCCCTTTAACCTTAGGTGTCAGGCATTTTGTCTCAGCAATGATAGAAAAGTAACCAATACAATATTTTATTTATTTCTATTGTCTCATTGCTCTGGCTAAAATTTCTAGTACTAAAAATATTAGAATAAGAGCAGTGAGAGTGGATACCCTTGTCTTGTTCCTGATTTTAGAAGAAGTTCTTTTAGTTTTTCCTTATTTGATAATATGATGTCTATGGGGTTGTCATGTATAACCTTAATTATATTAAGGTATGATCCTTTTATGGCTAATTTGTTCAGGGCTATTATCCTGAAAGAATGTTAAAGTTTATTAAATGCTTTTTTTAAATACCTATTGAAATGATCACAGACTTTTTTACCCTTCATTCTATTTATGTGATGTATTATGCTTATTGATTTGTGTATGTTGAACCATCCTTGCTTTCCTGGAATGAAACCCAGTTGATTATAGTACATGATCTTCTTCTTGTGTAGAATTTGATTTGCTACTTCATCTGTGTTCATGATTAATGTGAGTCTATGGTTTTCATTTTTTGTTGTTTTCTCTCATTTTTTGTTAATTAGCTTCATAGAATGACTTTGGAAGAGTTCCCTTTCTTTTAGTTCTGTGGATTAGTTTGAAAAGCATTTGTGTATGTGTTTTTTAAAAGTTTGGTAAAATCCAACAATGAAGCCACCTAGCCCTGGGCTTTTCTTTATTGAGAGACTTTTTATTACTGATTCAATCTTATTGTTAGTTATAGGTCTGTTCAAGGTTTTTATATCCTTTTGGTTCAATTTTTGTAGGTCATGTATTTCCAGAAATGTATCCATTTCTTTCAGATTTTTCAATTTGTTCAGAATATTCTCTAATGATCTTTTGTATTTCTTTTTTCTTATTAAGTTTATTGGTACATTTTAGGTATACAGTACAGTTATGTTCATTATTGGGATCTTGTACCTTTACATGACAGGTCTTGGTTCTCATTTTTCCCCTTACCCCTGCCCTCCCTTCACTTCCTCCTCCCTCATCTTTTGTATTTCTAAAGTGTTAGTTATAATGTCTCCTTTTTCATCTCTAATTTTATCCAGTTTCTTTCTGTCCCTCCCTCCATCCTTCCCTCATTCTTTCTCATTAGTCGAGCTAAAGTTTTGCCAATTCCATTCATCTTTTCAAAGATCCAACTCCATTTCATTGATGCTTTATATTGTTTATGAGATTATTTCATTTATTTCTGCTCCAATATTTCTTATCTTCTATTAATTTGATTATAATTGTTCTTTTCTTTTTTAAGACCTTGAGGTTTATCATTAAATTGTTTGAGATATGTTTCTCCATTTGTTTGTTTGTATTTTGGTGTGGGCACTAGTTGCTATAAACTTCCCTCTTAGTACTGCTTTTGCTGCAATGTACAGATTTTTATTTTATTTTTTACAAATAAGCTGACTTTAATAGATATTTTGTATTTATATAGTACCTTCTTCAAGAACCTTAAATGCTTTACAGACATTATTTCTAATTAATCTCCACAACAACCCTGTGAGGTAGGTATTACTCTCATTTTATAAGACAGGGAGACTAAAGCACAGAGAGGTTAAGTGACTTGCCCAAGGTCACACAGTTAAATTACTGAAGAGCCAGGATCTGAGCACCTTAGCCTTCTAGCTCCCAGCCAAACACCCCATGAGAGAATCTTTAATGAAAAGTATCTTTAAAATAAAGTATCACAAGTAGTATGTTATGAAAATGAGGTCTTCCTACTGCCATCAAAGAAAGAAAACAACCTATATTAATGGTTAGAAGCCACAAGGTCCATATAGTACAGCATCTTTCCTCCCCTTTCCTAAGCCTCCTGGCTCCTGTGATTGGTAAACTTTCCAAGACATAATCCATATGACTTAGAAGTGGAACTTAATTTTGAATATTTACTTTTAGTTAAGATAATTTATAGAAATCTTTATTCCAATATACAAAATATGGGACAGCTATCCCAACAAACATGTACATAGTTATATAGCAAATCAGCCCCATTTACAATTTTAACCTGCCCCTCATTTTAATAACAGCCAACCTACATACCACCTCACAATGCTTTCTAGATGTGTTACTTTTCTTACTATAACTGTATTTTTACTTCCCCAAACCTAACTCTATATATATTTAAAGTATACTGAGTTTCTGATAAGCTTCAGAACATTTTACTTATATCCAGCTGCACTAAGAGTAAAAAATAAATTAGAACCATCACTCATAGTCCCTCCTATGACAAATCATACAATGAAATTCAGTGTAAATCTGAACAGTGTGTGACAACCATGGAACTCAGTACAAATGTTAGAACTTGCTGTAACACAAAATTTAACTTGCTTTGCCTGACCATACAGATTTTGACATGTTGTGTTTCATTTGTTTCAAGTAATTTCTTATTTTTCCTCTGACTTCCTCAGTGTTTGTTTAAAAGCATGTTGTTTGGTATGCATCTATTTGTATACTTTTAACATTTTTCTTGTTGTTGATATCTAGTTTCATTCCACTGTAACCAGAAAATATACAGGATATTATTTAATTTTTTTGAAATTTTAAGACTTTTATATGGCTTAATAATTTTTTTGTAGAGAAAGTTCCTATGCTATGAAAAGAATGTGTATTCTGCAGTTGTTGGATGAAATGTTCTATAAAGTTGTATTAGGTACATTTGATCTATAGTGCAGTTTTTGTTTGGTACCAGGGATTGAACTTGGGTTCTTGTGCTTGTGAATCAGGCAGCAGAACCACTGAGCTAAATCCTTGGCTATCTATAGTGTAGTTTAACTCTGATGTTTATATAGTACAGTTTAACTGTTTGCTTGTTTCTTTCTTTCTAACTTCTGTTTTTTTATTAGTACATGTTCGTAGTACATAATGAGTACATTTATCATGGAGAGTTGGTGCATATGTATCACACATCTTAAAATTCTTTTTTCATCCCCTTCCTTTCCCTCCTCTCCCTCCCCTTCCCTTCCCCTTCCCTTCTCTTCCCTTTCCCTTCCCTTCCCTCCCCCCCATCCATCTTTAGGTCCCCTTCACATTTGCAAAAGATCTATTTCCCTATTTACTATTATCTATCTTTTAGTTTGTTCTTTTTTAATGTTTAGGATTTGTCTTATAAAAGAAACTGATATTTAAGCTTGTGGGTCTGACTTATTTCAATTAATATTGTTGTCTCAAGTGCTCAGCTTTGGCAGCACATATACTAAAATAGAAACAATACAGAGAAGATTAGCATGGCCCCTGTGTGAGGATGAAATGCACATTTGTGAAGCGTTCCATATTTTAGGGAATGAGTGGGGTGGGGTGGGGAGGGGCTTAATCTTTTTATATAAGTATCCATTTCTTTTAAAAAGTGCAAGTAAATATAGGAAGATACTAACTCTGCATTGTGATATATGGATTGCTTTTCTTCTTTTTTGTACTTTTCTATACTTTTAAAGTTTCACAAAATTAAAAGGATGCGGTGATTATGGGAATTCTGTACCTGTAGAAGTCACATTATAATGAATTAATTCTCAGTCAAATACTAAACTTTTTATAGAAATTATTTCTAAAAATTTTATCAACAATGGGTGGATGGACTTACTCTCTATGTAATATGAAATTATCTATTTTATTAAAATTAAAAATGACACCATAAAAATATTATGGTCTCAAGGTGCACCCATTTCCATCAGTTGGAGTGGGGTATTGCAACTCCCCTCTATTATTGCAATGGAGTTTATCTCTTCCTTTTGGTAATATGTTTGTTTCATAAAATTGTGTGCTCTGATATTAGTTGTATATAAATTTATAATCATTATATGCTCTTGACTAATTGATCCCTTGATTATTCCTGCTTCTTTTCTTATTCAATTTCTTTGGAACACCACTTTAGATTCTTTCACTCTCAGTCTTTGTGTCCTTAGTGGTGAGGTAAATTTCTTATAGGCAATATACTAGATGTGACTGAAAAAATACAGTGAATGTTTACATTTAAAAAATGTATTATACTAAAACACACATTCCCATTAACCCATTATGGCTTGTGTCTAGATTCCTCCCAAAGCCTCATGTGGTCATAGGATCTTTTCAGAGTTGGCTGGATGTGAAGTGTGTGATGCTGGGATCAAGGGTGAGTGATTACTTAATTAGTCTAAAGATTGGCTTGGCATAGTTCTAGGTAAGATTAAGGGTGCCCCACCCTGGGTTTGAATGCTATCTGCCCTAAGGTTAAACCTAGTTAAGATGTGAGACAAAAGAGTTTCTCTTCTCTTTTCCCTTGTCACTTGATGCCTTCTGTCCACCATGAGTTGTTTTTCCTCTGAAAGCCCCCTCTGCCACGATACCCTGCCTTGGAGCCAGCCACTTATGAACTGAAACCTCTGCAAACTGTGAGCTAAATAAATCTTTCCTCCTTTAACTTGTGGGTGCTGGGTATTTTAGCAATGAGAAAAGTAGCTAAGAGAACCTCCTCAAAATACTCCTTGCTTTGAGCACATTTCTTCCATCATTCTTCCCATTTTCTACACTTGATCTTAGCCACAAGGCTAGAAGTGATTTTTTTGCCATTTTCTGAAGCAATTCTGGAAGTCTTCTTTCAGGGAAGTAGGTGTCATTAGTTGTGCTCTATGTCTTGGGGTATCAGTTTGTTTATGCTATGTTGAGTTTATTTCCAGCTGGATACCATAATGTAATCTCCCTGTAACTCTTTTTTAGCTTGATTAGTGAGTTTGGGCACAGTGTGTGCTGTATCTGAGTCAGAGAGATGCACTGTCTCTGCAGGTCATGCAAGAGTAGGTAGGGATACTCTAACAGTTCAAGCAGGAGTGTTGTGGATAATGTGAGGGGCACCACTTTTGTTTTCTCCTATGATGGGAGCATTGGCTCAAGTTAGGTGATGAAGGTTTCCTTAGGCACTGTTGATGCTGGCCCTGTAACTTGAGTGGGTCTCTCATACTGGCTGCCCCAGTAGTGTTGAGGGGTCCAAAGCACTTGTTGTCTGATTAGACACTGGTGCAGGTCTAGATTATGTCATAGGGAAAAGTAGCACGAATAATCACCATACCCGCTTTGTGGCACCACACCTAGTCTGTTTCCATTTTTTCCTCTTCTCTTATTTTTTCTTTCCCTTCTTTCCTTTCCCCTACTTCTCCCATTTCTTCCTCTCCTTTAAACCTTTTCTTCCTGTTTCACATTATCTATCATACATTTTGATTTTTATTCACACTTCCAGTTTCTCACACCAGAGAAACTATTTGGTAACCACACCTAGTCTTGATAGTAGTGTGTGATCTAACAAAATGAGAGGGCGACTAAAAAAATATGAAAAAATGTAAAAATGGAATTAAAGTGTTTGAAAGTGGGGAGGGGAAGAGGGGGTGAAGGGAGGGTGGGGACAAGGGGAAAAAATAACCAAGACCTGGCATGTAAAGGTACAAGATCCCAGTAATGAATGTAACTGTACTGTCTACCTAGAATGTACCAATAAATTCAATTTAAATTTTTTTTAAAAATGAGAGGGCAACTTATTCAGGGGACCTGTGTAGTATGGTCACCATGTTATTATTCTTTTCTGCTACTGCAGATATGTCTGGAGGACCCCTTCTCTCTCCCAACAGATCATGCTTTCAGACATGCCTGGGGCTGTTCTTGCCCCAATTTCCTCAGCTGTCATGTCCAGCAAAGATTTGAGTAGGGGTTTGGCTAGGGACCGGGGGTTTGGCTCAGCGGTTCTGGCGCCTGCCTCACAAGCACAAGGTCCTGAGTTCGATCCCCGGTACCCCTCCCCCAAAAGCAACATTATTAAATAAACAAAAAAATAAAATATTGGTTTAAAAATAAATAAAAATATTTGAGTGCTTTGTGGCTTGAGCCAGGCAAAATTTCCCAGTTGAGGTGTTTGAAGGAGTGATGGTATGAAGATGGCACGGGAGTCTCTCTCTGGACCCTGTATGTGTCCTAGGATAGGGACAATGGCCTGGGTTTCTCTCCAGTTGATGTGTCTGCCAGGGATTGAGCAGGAACAGGTTGAGGCTGGAGCCAGACAAAATTCCTCTGAAGCTGAGGTTCCCACAGGAGCAAGTGAAAATGGTATACAGCCAGTTTTTATTTGGGCCAACTTAGTTTCTGCATTCTGGGGGCCGAGTGATGGCCTAGAGCCACAGGGGCGTTGCTGGGGATGGCGCTAGCACATCTGTGTGTTGGAGAGAAGCACTAGAAGCTGTTTTCTTCTCCTTGTTAGTGACAGGCACTTGTGCACAGCACTGTGATGGTGGAAGCCATGCAGGCAACTATCCTCCATCCTGGGTCCCACTTGAAGCCACATGGGACTGACTGCGTTCCTGGTCTGTGTCACAGGGCAGCTTCCCCGACACCCATCCTTAAAGAGTGGTGCCCAGAACTCCCTTCCACATTGCAACACCCATTCCCCACAACAGCCCTCACTGGGTTTGTGTCAGTTACTCACTGAGCCAGTGCAGTGGAATGTGTGGATTCCCAGACACAGGAATATTCAGGGGTTTCTGATCCCTCAAATACTCTAAAATCAGACAACAGGCCCCCTTTCAAGATGGCTCCTGGCTACAGTACTCTAGATCACTGGGAAATGAATTCCTTTTCCTGAGTCAGACTACTTCACAAATCTCAGGCCTCTTATTTACTTAGGCTATTAGCTTATATGGGCTATGAAACTTTCCAATAGCTAGGAATGCCAGTATCTGTGTTGATGGAGTCTGTTAAAACTTCTTCACCTTTGCTTCTAGGGAGTGGAGACTCCTCTTCAAGGTGGGGAGCCAGAGACACGGGTGATGTGACATTGTTTCTCTTGCATCCAGTTAGGGTTTGTATCTAAATGTCCCCTTAGAGCCTGATGTGGTAATAGGAACTTTTGGAATGTGACTGGATTGTACAAACATAGCTGTCTTGCTGTTAGGAAGTAGGGCCTAGAAGACAGACCTAGGTCACTATGGGTGGACCTGGAAGGTTCCATCTTGCTTTCAGGCTCTTCCTTCTCTGCTTTCTGGCAAACATGACACGTGCAGCTTCTCCTCTTTCATGTCCATCTACCATGCTGCCTTGCCTTATAGCCAGCCAACTGGACTAAAACCTCTAAAAGCTGTAAGCCAAGATAAACCTTCCCTCCTTTAATTTTCAGGTGTTGGGTGTTTGTCCCAGCAATGAGGAAAGTGATTTAGATACTTACTATACCAGTTCTCTGGATTTTACAGGCTTCATTTTCTACTTTTGAATTCTAGTGTTCTCTCATAGTCATTTGCCTTAATATGCAACTATACACCTTTGCTTTGGTTCTCTGTGCAAGAGCAGGTAAGTGTACTGGCTCATCTTGCCACACATACTGTGTCTATATCAATATCTATATATCTGTATCTATATCTATATCTATATTTTTTTGGTACAAGAGATCAAACTCAGGACCTTGCACTTGTGAGGCACGTGCAGTGCCACTAAGCTAAATCCCTGGCCCCCACTACACAATATTTTAAAAGGTAAGAACAATTATACACTTTGAACATTTTAGACTTGGGTAATATTTCACTAATACTGATTATAAGAAATGTTGCAAGAAAAGTGTGAATCAGGAATAAATTAGGGAAAATGACAACAATGATACAATTCTGATGTCTTTCTGGATCCAAGTCTTAGTCATCAAGCAGAAATAAACCTCAGTGAGAATGCTCCTTCAATATATATATAAATAAATCAAGAAAATGAGAGTTCAATTTTGTCAATTTTATTGAACCAATAAAATTCCTACTAATAACAATGAAATAAATTTCTGCAAGTATAAATGTGATACAGTTTAACAAAACCCATTGTTCTGTACCTATAAATAGATTTTCAAAATGTCATAAAAAGTGCAGTTATGAATTGTTAACATGTTAATACACAATTCCTTTATTTCAAATGTGTGTGTCTTGACTCACTAACAGTTCCTTCTTTATCTGTTCAAATAATATTACCCATCCCTCCAAAAAAGAAAAAAGGCATTAAAGCACTAGAATATTACACATAAACTGATCCATTCAGGTCAGCTTTAGTCAGAATTGTAAAATCAGCAACATAAGAAAAATAAAACCTAGTTATACATACAAAAAGCTTTCATGGTTCTATAATCTCCTTAACTGCTGACTCATATGGAGGGCATAAAGAGTTGAAAAGGCTTATATGGTTAACTATCTTAGACTATATCTACAGCAGGGTCTGGTTTGCCAGAACAAGTTTAAAGTGGCTGTTTATTAAGTTTGCTATTTTTAGAATTGAAACTATAAAGATAAGACTGCCATTTGACACTGAACTTGTGTGAATCCTAAATTGCATCAATGATCTATTTGATAAAGCTTATTCTAATTAAAATCCGTATAGAGTAATAGACTGATACATAGAGCAGTCTTAAAGATCATTTCATCTGCCTTACATTAGTCCAAAGTCACGTGCTTTGTAGAAAAGAAAACAAAATTACAGTAACAAAGCACAGGACTACAAAGGCAAAACATCACAGCTTCTGATTACATTGAATAAAAAGTACCAAGGAACACAAAGGATAATTCTGTATTAATACTGATGAATTAAAGAACTATAATAGACGTTTCACAGCATGCTACATATATTGCTCACAAATAAGGATTAAATGATGTCTAAAATTGAAAGTCAAGAAGTTGGCAATCTGATTTCATGTGCAATTCAGCTACAAAGTCTTAATATATACATTCATTATGTAGCTGCCCTGCAAAATCAGGACTAAAAAAAAAAGTTTTCAAGTTCAAATCCTATTTCATAAGTTGAAGGATACATCCAGTTCTTTCATGACCAGGAAAGTAATTTTTAGGTTTTAAGGAGCTAATCCAAGAGACAAGGTCACCCTCCAAGGTGACCCGACAAGGCTCTTGTTTATCTGCTCAGATTGCATGTGGATGGCTTGTGGTTTGTTTTCAGTATCTATTTTATTTTGGGCTAAAAGTATTATTATGTGAAGAGAAAGAAGAAAGAGAAAATTGTACTGTCTCTCTAGAGAGGATATATGAAAGCAAAGAAAATATTTGTACTAGATATAGAGTTTGGATCACTTTCCTTGGTGAACAAGGGTACCGTTTGACTCAACTTTTACTTAAAAGAACCAGAGAGATTGGAAAAGGAGAAAACAGTCTCTCAGCTTTCCAAAGGAAAATTTCTGGCCACCCAACTGATACGCTTCCTTTATCCTCCATTTGATCCTTCCTTATCAGACTTGGGGGAGCCAGATGAAAATTTGTAAAGACTAGTTAATTTAAGAAACAGATGTGGAATTAATTTAGTTCTGTATCATAATGTATAACAACTAATCAGAATCTGAGAATAATATTTTAGCATTAAAGACTGAAGATTCTTCCTCTATAATATTCTTTCTGTAGAAATTATACATTCACTTTTAAGAGGTTAACTTGAGGGGTGCAAGAAAATAGATTGTTTTAGCAAAAATTTTTATACCAAAAATTATATTTATCATATTTAGACTTATTAATGTCTGATGATGTCCTAAGAACTATAAATGGGGCATTTGTTCTAAAGGCTACATGATAGTAAGCACTGCATTCTTTCAAAGATTTTCACAAACTTTCAAAAGAACCAGATACTCTCTTCTTTCCCCTATACTTTTCTTTTTCTGTACTTCATGGTGGTGCAGTCATAATTAGGTTAAAGCCAGAGTGAACACTTCATATGACTGAATAAATCTTTCAGTCTCCAGGTAGGCTACTGGTTCACTTCTGGGCCTTTAAAGAGATATATTAACATTGCTATCAGGTTGTTCATGACTAAGATGGGAAACATGCTAATACCACCAGAATTCATATTAATCTATACTTTTAATCAGGGTATTCACCTTCAAGTCAGACAAACATCTATAGATAAACATGTCCCCTGCTAGAAACCCAAGGCAGTTTAATCTCAAACAATGCTGAGTGCACACAGGCTGGAGAGGAAGAATTTGCATTTCTGTCTGTAATGGTATAATCTGGACATATCTGAAATGCAACAAGGGGAATAAAGGCTACAAAGTCAATGCATTCTCTTTTCATCCCATAGAAGATACTTCCTTCCATGAGAACAAGGTAGGGACTGGGGGCTAGAGGTTTGGTCTAACCTAGGAAAGCCTAGTCAAGCCCTTAGGTACCCAGTTTTGTGGTATTTTAATGGTGTTCTGAGATTCAGCCAGACCATATAAACACATATCAATGTCCTCTTACAAGAAACGTGTTTCATGGCCCAAATGCCACCAATAAAACAAATAACTGAAACATCATTCCATTTATATGCCAGAAATTTCCTGTTCCACTAGAGGGTTACAGGTCAATCTGGATTGCTAGAAAATTTTAACTTACATTCAAATAACTTGGACTAACACCAGTATTCATTCATCATCTAATATAGATCCAGGTTATGATGGCAATTTAATCACTTTAAAATCCTGCTAAATGCTAAATTCTGCATGGTAGAAATAGTTCAATTTCTGTATCATGTATAAATATAAAGATTCCTACTTTGATAGAAGGCAAAATCTTTTATGACTTATTTAAAATATGGAAGTAGTATTACTGAACAACAGAGAGTGAACCCATGAAAAGGCTGGATACTCTGAATTTATAGGCTCTTTGGGGATGAGGTAGAGGAGAACACGATATTTTGGCAGTTGAGAAAAGGGGTGAACACAATGGGGTGGACAAGATCACACTGATGTTGCTTAATATCTGATAGGGTGTCAAGGGCAAAAGTCAGCCAAAGTACAAACGGATGGTTGAGGGATTTAGAGGGAGTCGTGACAAAGCCATAATCTTCATGAATGGAAAAAACATAACTCAGAAAAGTAAATGCTGGTGACTATCAGCAGGTGGCTGGTGATGTTTGGTTTGGATTGTGAAAGGTGTTCAGACCAAGACAGGCCGAGAGAAGGGAAAGAGAGTGAAGGTGTGTACAGGTTGAGGCACTTGGAGGAAGAGAAAACAGGGTGGAAAGAGAGGACTAAATGCAGGTAGGAGCTCCCACGAGAGAAATGTTTCCTTTATATTAGGTGCATGATGCCGAGGAAAGCCACCATCTCAGCACTATGTTTCATATATTCTTTGAAAACGTTTCCTCCCTCACAAGGCTATCTTGACATATACCTCTATCTCTGTAATCCACCTCACCCCCAGCTATTTTTGTTCTAGGTCTCACCTGAGCAGATACTGCTAACTAAGCCAAATTAGCGTGGAAATAACCTCCACCTTCAGTGGTCATTTAAATTCTGTTGACTGAGATAAATACATTCATGCTACAGTACTGCTTTGAGGAAAGACTACTTAATTTGATTCTCAGTCTCCACAGAGATATAACAGGGAAACACAGTTTTTGACAGCCGCCTAGAATAGATTCTGATTATACAGATTATGTAACTTAAAACTCGATCTGAACAGAGGAGCCACATGTCTTTCAGTTTACTACTGAACTGTTCTAAGAAAATAAATACTTATACAGCATCACTGTTGCATACTTTTAACTCCATGCAAGACTATTTGCATGAGACAAAAAAGATTTTCTAGATAAAAGAGAAATGGAGATCTTGCTTTCCAGAGAAACTTCTAAAATACAACATAAGCAAAAACAAAACAAAACAAAACAAAAAAACAAAAAATCTTATTTTACTATCACAGTGCAAACCCTTTTAAAATATGCACTGAAATTTGCTTTTTCTCCCTGATGAACTGTTTTTAGTTAAGAAGAATCTTACCATCATATATGCATGCACCCTAAATGTGGTGAAATATTTTACGTACATATCTTTAATTGCTGATAAATTTATTTTGCTGGGGCATGAAAATCTAAGATTTTGGGATAAAAACTTCATACAGTCAGAAAGGAAAAAGTTGCTCTGAAATAATACCAGTTGAACTTCAGAAGTATTAAAAATCATTAGGAGACACTATAACACAAATAAAATAGGGGCTCTGGTTCAAGTTCTATATCATTTTTACATAAACCTTACATTTGTTTTTCTATTCTAAAGAAAGGCCTGCATCGCTCTGCCATTACTTGGGTTTAAGGCTATAAGGCCATATTCCAGATTCCATGTTAGCCATCTTTTATTTAAAGTACCCCAAGTGAGACAAATTCTTCCTGAGACTGAGACAATGTACCTAGCAAAAAAAAGAAAAGAAAAAAAATGAAGGAGTTTTGTCTCAAAAGCCTCTTTTCCCCTAATTCTCACAAGTCCACCTGAGGAAGCCTATTCTGAAGGGTTCAGTGAGGCACCTGCCTGGCCCCTCTTGTAGTCAAGTGGGTTAAAGAACAAACTGAGTTTCACAGGGGAGGTTACTTTGATATTTCTTAAGGTGATCTGAGAAGTTAAGAATTATTATCAAATCTGGAAAATTTGAAATTCCAAACTAAATAGACATTATTCAAGCATATATCTCAGTGAATTATTAGAGTAATTTTAACACAATAAGCAAGGTATTAAAGAGTTCACATTCATGTGTGCTTTTTTTCATGTATTCTTGCACATTTAAGTTTGGCACAATGTGACCCCAAAATGATTAGCACATAATCACATTATCATACCAATTGAACCCAGGTATCTTTTTTTAAAAAATATTACATTTTAATATAAAAAGCTACACTATAAATTACTACATAATAAATTCAATTCTCTTGAAAAAAAAAAATACCACCCTGGCAAACCGCAATCAAATTTCAAGTTTGCACTGAATAGAGAGAGTTGATAACAAACTCATTGTGAAAAGGGACTCATAGCCTGAAACAAATGCTGCTGCATCTTACCTGGTGCATGAGCATCTTTAGAAGTCAGGCTGATTTACTGAAGGTTGTAAATACATTGTTTCATTTTGCTTTTAGTTCAAGCCACCTTAATTTCCTGATTAACAAAGAGATGCATCAATGTTGAGCAAAAAGAAATTCTGCTAGGAAAGATATCTGTTAAAGGCACTAACTGTTACCATAACTCAAACTAACTACATTTCTGGGGGAAAAAAATAAAAGAACAAAAAGTGGCCATTTTAGTAACTTATACCTTGTTTCCCCTTTTGGTCTAAAGCTCATTTGTATGGTTTCTGTGAGAATTTCTCCTATTCAATACATAAAAATCATTTTTCATCCTGTAATACAGTTCACCTGCACAAAATGATAGAGCTATTGATTTAAATGATTCTAATAAAAATGCAAGAATAAAAGATATCCTCACCCTGAAAGTCCTCAAGTTAGGAAAATTAAATGGACTTTTATGTTTCCATCGATGTTCAGCCATTCTCTTCAATACTTTCCTTGTAGTTAATACCTATCTATACAATGAGATATTGAAAAAAAATCAATATATGGTATATGTAATAAACAAAACAAGAGATCTGGCATGAATTCTTCAAATAATCTCTTTAAATAAACCACCCTGTCCTGAAAAATATTATTGGTCAATTTTTTTTCCTCATGGAAGATTTCAAATAAGATCCTTGAATCCAAAAACACAGAACTACCTTATGTTAATAGGTTTACAGTCATTTTTGTTTTTATATCTGGAACAAAATCTAAAGAAAAGCAACCTAAAGCATTGTACTAGAGAAGGATGATAAATGGAAGGGGAAAATGATTGAACTAATCCATGATTATTTCACAAAAGAAAAAAATAAATCCTATAAGATAAGTTTAAAATGAAATTTCTGTGGCAACTATAGTGGAAAAATTTAACTATATTACTTACTATGGAAAAATGGATATGCTTTTAAAAATTACCATATATGTGTAAAATTCAAGTCACTTTTAATTAACCAAAAAGTGTTTAAGCAGTGCAGTTGTGTCCTACTGGATAGTTGTAAGCATCTCTTTAGGCACTTCACTGGTTTACTAACATAATACAAATTAAAGCTATAAAACACATAATGTTGTGCTCTCTGAAGATAGTCTAATCAAGTAACATAAACCAATGCAAAAATGTGACTTTTTTGGCCACTTATTCTTCCCCTATGACTTGATACCTTTTTTAACCAGTTGTCCAAAGAGATTTTTCTGGGGAAGGGAATGCTTTGGCATTATAAAAAGAATATTATTCAACCCCAGTAAGGTAAAACAAAAAAAAGCCTAGTGCAATAAAGAAATTTCAGTAAAATTTCTTTATGGCTGTGTTTAAAAGGACACTTCTGCAGTGATATGATAGGGGAAAAGTTTAGTTGAGTATTTTTTAGAACATATTGCACTCTTTGTTGTTCAATCACATTAATGCATAGAAACACAATTTTTACCTTTGAATTATAAACTGTTTAACCTACTGTAAGAAGAAAATAATGGAAAATTATCTCTAAAAGCCTAACAGAAAAAAATATAAGCATATTAACCATCCTTTGCAAATTGTAATATAGAAAAAATTCATGAAAAGAAAAATGTGCAAAGAAAATTTTTGGTCAGTCTTGTGTGGGTACAAGTTTTTATGTGGTGAATGAATGAACTATGATCAAGTGTGAGCACTGATTTTTTTAAGGTGACAGGATCGTTGTCAGTAATAAAAAGGATTGTGCATAACTACTTTTCATAATATATTCATATATATATATATATATATATATATGAATGATATGGAAAATTGAACTTTCTGTTGTAAAAGAGAAAATAGATGAATTTGGTATTTCAGTAGCATGCTATAGAATTCATCATGATTAAGTTCACATTAAATTATGGACAATGGCTGTATCACATTTCACGTTGTCGCCAATAGCAGGTAAAAAAACAAAACAAAAAAATCTACAAACAAGAAAACATACAGTGCCTGACAAATAATCTCCTGGGGACACAACTTTGGTGTCCAGTGAGCAGCTTGGTTCAATAGCGCATGCTTTTCTTTTACCAGATTTAGGACACAACATGAAAATTATAGAATGGTCAGATGAAGTCATTCTTCGCTAAATTCCAATATCTGAAGAACAATCGCAAGAGCAGATTGTAAGCGCTTTTCCTTATTTAAACCAAAAAGTAAAAAGAAAACAAAACAAAAAAACCACATATAACCAACCTTCAAAACACTGAAGTTAAGCATTAACAACCACGTTCATGATTTATGATCGTTGTCCAAAAATCCAACTATAAACAATAGTAAAGTAGTGCTCCTCAGTATTATTTTTGCAACTGTTAGTAATGTTAAGCATCAAGAAAAAATAAAACACATCATTGCACATTACAGCCGGGGGGGGGGACAAAAACAAAACAAAACAAAAACCAGCTAAACTCTGACACTAGAGAATTGAATAATTTTGATGCTGTATCTCAAAGAGCTTCTGATGTAAATCATACGTGAAAAAGTCTTTACACATATATGACACTGTCCCTGGGTGATACTTCAGGTCAAATGCCGAGTTATGGCACGAAGAGCATAAAGTAGTTCAGCTTGCATCCGTGCTTCCATTAAAAGTAGATTAACATGAACCTAAAAATGAGAATGTTATCATATTAGTAACCACAGGAAAAATGTTTAAAAGTTTTCATATATCAGACATTGACAAGAGTTTTTATGTGTACACAGACAATATATAAACTTGCATACCTAGGCATACTTATGCATGTACATAATGGAATATGCAAACCTGCATTTGTAAAAAATGGCTCTATAAGCAGTAACAACCCATAATGTCTATAAAATTCCCATAATGCATATATATTATGTAAAACCAATCAAGCATTTAGATTATAAAAATAATGTTTTTTAGTTATTTTCCCAGTAATTATGCTTCCTTCTAAAAATCAATCCTACCTTTTATTTATTTTTCTCTCATTGAGTTTATTGGTACATTTTAGGTATACAGTACAGTTATATTCATCATAGGGATCTTGTACCTTTATATGACAGGTCTTGGTTCTCATTTTTTCCCCTTGTCCCTGCCCTCCCTTCACCCAATCCTACCTTTTTTTTAAGCAGCCTATGTTTATTACATAGAAAGCTTTTAAAAAATTTCCTTGCATTTACGTGAAAAATACTAAAGTAATATCTGATGCTTAGTGCAGTTTGTAATTAGTATCTGATACTAGTTAGCTATGCAAGGCTTCCTTAGAGTATCGATAAAAGTGTGAAGAGTACTTTCAGGGATATTTCTCAGCTGACAGGTCAAAACATCCCAAAGTTTTCAAAATTTACATGAAATATTTATTTTGATATCAGTTGACTATATTGTGGATGTATAAGGTATGACTGAAGAATACAGTGAAGGTTTAAATTTAAAAATATTTATTATAGTAAAAGACACACTGCCCTCAATCCTCTTTGTTTTGAATATACATCTATCATTCTTGCTCCTTTCTGAATCAGTCCTGGAAGTCCTCTTTTGTGAGTGCCTTTAGTTGCACTATTATGGCTGCCTCAATGTCCTGAATCAATTCAAAATGTTTACCAGGGGTATTTTGACTTTGGGAAAAAGCCAGAAGTCACATGGTACAGATCCAGTGACTAAGGCATGAAGAAACATCGTAATTTTTTTATGAGCCTTCCTCTACTGGAATGCTGTACTAGGCAGCAGCATTCACTGTATATTTTGATCATGCCTTGTAAAGACACTCACTAAAGAGTACTTTCGGAAATGCTTCAGAAAGTATTAAAAATGATGGGATAAGTGCGTTTGACGTGAAACAGAATATTCTGAGGGGGATTAATGGCAATGTATCTTTAACTATAATTCTAAAAATTTAAACATTCACTGTACATTTTAATTATTTCTTCTATTCCCCTGATGAAAACAAGAATTTGCAGATAGAATTTTAAAAAGGAAAATGGCAAACACAAACATGGCATAAAGATCCATCAAGGAGAGATGCTGGAGATAAGACAGACATTTTTTTGGTGTGTTGGCTTGAAGACTTTAAAAAATGATACTAAGGCATAACATTTTTGCCAAGGTCAGACAGCTAATTAGTGAATGTAAGGACCTAGAAAGATTTTTCTTAACTTTAAGTTTAGGAACTGTTATAAAGGAGATTCTTAATAGTTATAATGTGTAGGAAGAACTTAAAGCCAACTCAACACTATGATGTTGATAAAGAGCCTTTAATACTAAATTATTAAATTGAGATGAAAAGCTATTGTTCTGGGCTGGATCCACCCTGGGAAGGAGAGCCATGCTTTCTCCTGCCCCAGCCACTATCACTCAAGTGCCAGGAAGGTAGAAGTCCCCCCGCCCCCGCATGCACTCTCAGACCTCCTGACTGTGCCAGTCTTTGGACCCACTCTGCAGAGGCAGAGATGGTCATCAAGGGTATTTTTCTGAATTCCCAACTTTGAACATCTTTAAAGAAAGGGTGTGGGAAACCTGTAATAGAATGTTGTGGAGTTCAACCATTCAGAAGGTTGGGGAACTCAATCTGGGCCTTGCAGCCAGAGGTCAGTCAGCGTCATGGGGTTCAGCCATGAGCTAACTGAGACCAGGGGTCTTGCATCCTTGCTCTGTCTGAGCCATTAAATGGTAAATACATTATATTGAAATTTTGTTCACTGCAGACATGTTCTGGACTGCTTGATTTCAATTTAATTCAAATGATGTAAGGGTGATAGACTAGTGACTACCACAGGTGGTCAGTGTCCAAGTTGTGCTTGATCTTAATGTGTTGCTGATTGTATCAGTTGGGATAAAGCATTGCAGTTGATTTGATGAGCTGTTTTCTCTGATGTTATGAAGATGAGAATGTCAGTGGGTCGTTAGAGACACAGAAGCTAGGGCACAAATATATCAGGAAGATTTGGGTGATAATCCAGAGATTAAACCAAGGACAGTCCGACAACAAAAATAAAAATGAGAAAACACTTAAGCAAGACAGAAGGACAGACTTCTATCTAGTTCACCAATGGCAAACAGTAGCGCAAATGAGGATGAAAAGGCTGATAGTGAACCACCAGGACACTGTGAACTCAAAGCACAGGAAGTAACAAAACAGATCAATCAGGCTCTAGAAAAATTCAAAAAAAATAATTTCCCAGATAACCATAGATAGTGAGCAAAATGGAAGTCGCGATTCGAGACTCTAGAGCAGAAACTGACAAAAAATAGATGAGCTCAGGACCATGATAGAAGCCATGAAGACTCAGCATAAGAAAGAATGGAAAAAATAAACGCCCAGCATAGGAAAGAAATGGAATCCATAAAACAGATTCAAACAGATATCCAGGAGATTAAACACTCCATAGTGTACGCAACAGAATAAAAGAATGTGAAGATAGACTTTCAGATATAGAAGATAAGATTGCAGTCAGTGACCATGAAAAGAGAGGTCTCTTAAACACAGTAAGGGATCATGAGAAATCAATCCAACAACTCCTAGATGATGCAAAGAAGAATAACATAAGACTGATAGGAATACATGAAATAGCAGGAGAAAATACAAATGACTTTAAAAAGCTGTTTGCAGAATTAATGACAGAAAACTTCCCAAACAGAGGGGAAGAATTTAACATTCAGATAACTGAGGCATATAGGACCCCAACTAGCTGCAATAAAAAAAAAAATCTACACTTAAATATATAATAATCAAGATCCCAGAAACCCAACAGAAGAACAAAATACTATAAGCAGTAAGAGAAAAGAAACAAATCACATAAAAAGGAAAGCCCATCAGAATCAAAGCAGACTTTTCAACACAAACCCTTGGGGCAAGGAGAGCCTGGAATGAGATATTTCAAGTACTAAAAGAAAACAACCTCCAACCTAGACTGATGTATCCTGCAAAACTCTCTTTCAAAATGGATGGGGAAATAAGATACTTGCACGACAAAGAACACCTGAGAAATTACATGAATACCAAACCAGCACAAGGAATTCTAAACAAGATCCTCGAAAAAGACAATGAAGGCAACAACACCATGAGGCCCAACAGAGCAAATCAAATAGGCAAGGCGAGAAATTAAAAGGAGAAGGTGAAAAAGTAAAAAGAGTCAACAAAAGGACATAACAGGACAATAATAAGTCAGTACATATCGGTTATAACCAGCAATGTCAATGGCCTCAACTCACCAATCAAGAGAAATAGACTGGCAAAATGGAATAAGAAGCAAAATCCAACAATATTGTTGTATACAAGAAATACACCTAGTGCAAAAAGAAGCCCATAGACTGAAAGTGAAAAGATAGAAAACAATTCTCCATGTGACAGGAGCCCAGAAAAATACAGGGGTAGCAATCTTATTTGCAGACAAAGTAAATTTCAAACCAAAACTGATTCTAGTATTATTGATGTAGGATGGTACTGTATCATACCTCTATGAATGTAAAATATCTTGTACCTGCTTTATGATACATAATAGGGACCATGCTTTATCAGAGCTACATTTAATATTACTCTAGAATGTTCTCTTTCCAGATGATGATTAAGATGCTAATAAAAAAATGGTGCCATTTACCCAAACTGCAACAGAACTTTGCTGTTTTCTGGATATTATTCTTTTCTTAGTTTTTTTTTGTTTTTTTTTGTTTTGTTTTTAATGGAATGTGCTGAATGTCTATAATTTTGTTCAGATGATTGCAGAACCTGGAAAAGCTGTTGCTGCTATCGATGCATAACATACTGCTATTATTAGCCTTTTTATATAAATATAAATATATATATACATATATCAAAATATAAAAAAATATATATATATATTGAATTTTGGGAAACTTTAACGGTGCTGCCAACTTTGGAAAAAGTCATCCCAGTTTATTGTGCTGAGTTGGCATTGTACAGAAATGGATAGCCATATTGGTCTAGAAATGTTAATTTTTTTTTTTTCATGTGTACAGGGGTAACACGTTGTACTAAATATGTAAGGTCATATCTATGTGGGTTTGATTACAGAAACTAATAAAGTATTCTCTAAATAATGAAAAAAAGAATAACATAAGACTATAAGAGCAAGAAGCAATTTAAATATGTACAGAGACCATTTTCATCTCCAGAATTAAGGATTATTTTAATGTTACATCATTGCCTTTTCTTTTTTACTTTCCTTTTTAGTTTTATTCTAGGATTCCCTATTTTTAATGTTCATATAGAGATTTCTTTAACTGAAATACTGAATAGTTTCTTTGGTGTGAAAAACTACAATAGTACACAGGATCCTAATGAGATAATTAATAATGTGAAATAGGAAGTAAAGGGCTAAAGATGTAGGGAAAGTGGGAAAGGTGTGGGAAAGGTAATAAGGGAGAGGAATAAAATATGAGAAACTGAAAAAATGGAAATAAAGTGTTTGTAAATGGGGAGGGGAGGAGGGGGTGAAGGGAGGGCAGGGACAAGGGGAAAAAATGAGAATGAAGACCTATTATGTAAAGATACAGAATCCCAATGATGAGTGTAACTGTATTGTATATCTAGATTATACCAATAAACTCAATAAAAAGAAAAAAAAAGCTATTGTTCTAATAGGTTAACTCTGGTGGCTAGCTAGTGCTAAAAAATCTCTGTATGGATATGCCTTTTGGGCCAAGATACAATGATACCTATTACAGTTTCTCAGTAGGTTTGGTTTTTAAGAATAGAATGACAATAAATTCCCAATGACTTTAAAGATATGTTTTTAGATCCAATCTTTCAAATACTGATCCTAAAACAATTTTATACTTTATGTTGAACAAAGCATATAACCAAAATTTAGTTAATAGTTAATAAATTTGAATTAAAAATTTTTAAAACCTAGCTAATCATTAATTTATTAATAATTTATTAATACTTTATTAATTATTAATTTATTACTAATTTATTAATACTGTCAGGCATCGTTTTTGCTAATCAATACTTATTATACTGAACATGTGTCTATGGTATAATGCTTGGTCATGAAACTGTTACCTTTTCTGAGTGTTTGAACTGACGCCAGTAACTATCATACATGCGCTTTGTAGTTCTTTCAGGATAGCAGGTCACCGTCTTAATGTAAACCTTCAGGCTTCGTTCAAGTAACTGATTAACTTCTCCATAATCATAGTCATCATACCTATGAGCATGTTGACAACAGCTTTAGTATGACAAAAATCAAAAATTTCAATTTCTAGAGTTGTACGTAAGACATTTACTGTCTATTAATTCCATATCCAAAGTTCATGAAGTCATCTAAAAATTATTTATTGTCTATTATGTACCATGCACTCTTGTAGGTACTGGAGTATACTAGTAAAGAAAAAAATCAATTTCTGGTCTCTCATAGCTTAAATTCTATTAGCATATAAAGGGAAAAATGAAAAAGATAAGTAGTATGGAGGTGAAAATAAGTGCTGTCTGTGCAAAGAAAATGGATCTGCAGTCTGTAGTCTGTAATAGAGAGTCTGGCATTTGAGCAAATACCAGAAGCTGGTAAAGAAGACTTAAATTCTGTTAGTGTTTATTTAAAGGAGTAGCTATAATATATGTATATACTTTAAAATGTAATGATTCTCACATAATTTATTGTCTAGAATGCTCAGTGGGCACACAACATTTTTTTATACCATAAAAAGTTCTGGGACCAGAATGTTTCAGACTTCAGTTTGTCAGATTTTGAAATACTTGCATATACTTTATTGGTTAAACATTCCTAATTTGAAAATCCAAAAACTAAAATGTTCCAATATCCAAAGGTGCAAACTTAAGGATTGGATTTCAGAGGATTTTGGATGTCAAGTTTTCAGATTTAATGTTTCTTACAGAGAATGTTGTATCACTGGTTGCACGATCAGGAAATTTTGTGGTTTTAGTTAAAATTATGGAAAATACTTGCTGAACAAATTAAATTCTAATTTATTCCATAAAGGTTTTCTGATAATATATCAGAAAGGATACAGTATGTAGTCAACTTGAATGTATTCAAAACTACAAAATTTGTTTCTGCAAATCCATTTCCAAAAAAAAGATTCCAATATCCAGCTCAAAAAGCTCTATCTCCTAAAGGAGCTTTCTTTATTACACCATTCAATTTCATTGCCTCATTTATTCACTGTCCTTTCAATGCTAGTTTCCTAAATTTAGCAGCTGTTAATTTATATTGACTGATACGTTTCAGTATTCTTATGATGTGAGCTTATGTAACCTTTATGAGGACAAACTCTATTCTAGTCTTGTTTATGCCTAATTACCATTCCTTAAAGAAAATTTAAAACTCAAATCAAACAAATCAGGATTTATTACAGTGATCTAAAAAAAGAACACTTTAAAAAATTATATTTTCTGAGGAAGGCATTTGAAGTTTCGTCTGATTATTCAATCTATAATGATTACTGATGCTTTTCCCCTTAGTAAATTCTTACTGTTGTATTTGTATGTGCACCACTGTTAATCAAATGAGTAAAAATGCTTCTCTATAAAATAAAATCAAGAGCCCATATATAACATTTTCTCCCAGAATCAAATACTCCTAGATGGGATATAGATAAGACTGATGTTAGAATTTTTACTTCAAAATGTATACAACTGTTTGCACACCAAACATACCTGATCCCAAACATACAGTGAACATAGTTAAATAAAGCTCTGCGCAGCGTGGTTGTGTCAACATCCTCATGGGTTGCCATAGTGTTATAGGTGAGGTTGTAGACCATCCGAAACTTCTCATCAAGAAGATGTCCAATGTCAGAATACAGCCTGTTCACCAGGGAGAAACCATGATTTTCCCAGGTATAGTCCTGAAAGAATAAAATGTATCTAATTGCAAAATGAACATTTTCCATTTGAACTGTTTTTGTTAAATAAAATTACTGAAACAAGTCAGTAAGGATATTTGTAATTTAGTTCTAGACTTGCAGCTTTACCAAGAACTCTTTGTATCAGTCTGTAGAAGACTGAAGTGCTGGGATGTTTCTTCATAGGGTCCAGGTATTGGGTATACTAGTGATAAAATATGGTCACCTTCTACAGTCATGTAGTGGGGTATACACAATACACCCTTATCTGAAAAGACACCAGAAAGTCTTGGAATGCTCCCATGTCACTAAACGTAGTGAGCTGGACATTTAAGAGACCATCTGAAATAGGAATGAAAGTGTGTTTAATTTAAACACATGCCTGCTTTAGGAGACTTCACATCACTAGTGTGGCCACACTTTCTGTGAGTGGGAGGGTAGTCCTTAAAAGCCTGTAACCTTATAAAAAGTCTTTTTATTACAAATGTGACCATATCATTTGATTTCCTCTCGGTGCCCTCAAAAGATGGGATGAACATTATGCAACTAACTTATAATAATGCAAGTGATTAAAGCAGACAGCAATTCTCTTTTGCCTTTTTAGAGGGAAAATGTTGAAATAATTATCCACTTATTGGGATGACAAAGTAGACTGAAAATTAGGATTAAAAAAAATAGAATAGGGCTGGGGATTTAGCTCAGTGGTTTGGTGGCCTGCCTTGCAAGCGCAAGGACCTGAGTTCAATCCCCGGTACTGAAAAAAAAAAAAGGATAAAAAAACAGTTCATATCATTTTATTTAGAAGTCAATTTATTTACATCTCAACAGTAAACAGTTAAAATGACAGAATTATCTAGTTTTTCTGAAATAAGAACATCTTATACCTGAGCTCGGAATGTTGGCAAGTGCTCTTCTCCTCTTCTGGCAAAGTCTTCATACCCAAAACCAGGATCTTCAATGTATCGAGAGACATCAGATGTTACAATCATGTCATCTTCAAAATCTAAGAAAATTAATCAAAGATCCATTGTTAAGGATATGGTAACAGTTAAGATAATAAAACTGAAGTTTTTCATCTTCTATGAAGTTTGGAAGTGATAATGCTGACTATATAAGTTAAATTCTCATAAAAAAATTGCTGAAGCTCAGAATACAATTTCATTATCAAATATAGGGAATTAACATTTGACTACAGTTATGTAAGCAAAGAACTGACAAAATAAAATTTTCTAAATGATAATAGAAAAAAGCAATATACTTGTTTTACTAAGTTCTTTATTACATTTAAAAAGACTGACATTTGTTGAGTACTTACTAGATACCAGGTACTATTCTGTATACTTAATACTGTATTTCTTTGTTTCATTAGTATAAAGAGAAATACCACTTAAGAAACTACTGCTAAGTTATCAATGTGACTGTTAGCACAAAATGTAAGAAATACAATGTGAATTAGCATAAAATAATGTGGAAAACCTCTAACCATTAAACTACCTAAACTAATCTGAAGCTTTCAAGTGCCTTTTAGTTCTCTAAGTTTCATGCTTATCCCTAGCCCAAACCTATAACTGCGGTGTATCTTCCTCATACTTCAGCATTCTATTCAAATGAACATACTAACAATCACACCTCTTTCCCACCTCTGTGCTTCCCCTCCCCTCCTTTCCCATCCCCTCCTTCTTTTGGTGTTGGAAGGGGATTCAACACAGGGCCTCATACATGCTAGGCAAGCACTCTGCCATTGAGCTACAGGCCCAAAATAGCATTTTCAGTGCTTTCTCTCTTAACTGTGTTACACTTTCCTTAATTTAGTTCACACAGCAGAAATGAAGCCCAAAATATAAAATATAGTAGAAATTACTGAGGCTGCTACGAAAACCAGTTTTGTGAGTTACAAAGTAAATTTAACTAAGAAGTGTGTCACAACTAAACTCTGTAAAAAAGTGTCTCTCTAGAAATGAAATATTCCCCTGACACTATACAAACCAGGCTGTTTCATATGGCAAATACTGATAGTGGTGTTGACTATTATATTGCTGGTTCTTCTGGTGTTTTATGATAAGTTTTTATTTTGCTTATATACATTTGTTATAATACTGACTTTTAAACATGTTAAAATAATAAAAAGTGATTAAACAAATAAGAGAATTGCTCTGAGGAAAAATCTCTACTTATTTTAAAAGTAGGAGTAAATCAAGACCAGTTTTCTTGATATCTTTGTCTATAAAAAGATATATACAGCCAGGCTTGGTGGCACACGCTTGTAATCCCAGCACTTGGGAGGCTGAGGCAGGAGGATCACTGTGAGTTCAAGACCACCCTGGGCTTCATAGTGAGTTCCAGGTCAGTCTCAACTACATAGTGAGACCCTGTCTCAAAAAATGAAAAGAAAAAAAAATGTTAACCAAGTTTTGCCCCAAATTTAAAAAAAAAAAAAAAAAAAAAAAAAAAAGATATATACAAAGGTCCATCAATCCATCTATATTTTGTTTAAGTGTTTTCCCAAGCTCTGTGTGGTAAAGGATTGGACCCCACAGTGTTTTAGATGATGGTAGAAATTTAAGAGGTGGGACACAGAGGTGGGGTCTCTTAAATTACTGGGGAGATGCCCTCAAAGGGGATGGTGGGACCCTGGTATCACTCTTGCTTTGGTTTCCAGCCAGGGAGGCAAACGCTTTTGCTGTGCCACATGTTACCACCAGGAAGTGCTACTACAGACCTAAAGTGATGGGGTCAACTAATCGTGGACTGAAAAATTGGGCAAAAAATAACCCTTTTCACTTTTAAAGTTCATTATCTCAGGTATCTGTTAGAATTACAGAAAACTTTAGAATACTTTATATAACCATCAAATTTAGGTCTGATGATAGATAACAGTTTAAAAAATGAGATGATTTATTTCCTTAAATGATTCACACATATTATGGCCTATTTTATTAAAATCAGTACATAATATTTGAATAGGACCCAAGAGTTGTGCTAGTCAAATTCAATTTCAAAGGCTGAAGTGCCTATTCAAGGGTCCAAGAAGGTAGAGACTGGGATACAAATTATATTGTCAATATTTTTAAAAAATCCTTTAAGAAATATTTGTATCAATCCCTAGTGATCTTAAAGCTCTTCAAAATTAATGTCTGAAAGCAAATGCATATTATTAACCTTAATAAAAATGTTTACATTTTTTTTTATAATTATTTAAGACCTTTATTAACAGGTGCTTGCAGTTTGTTGACTTTTTTGAAAAAATCAAGTTGTAAACTTTTATTACAAATTAAAAATGAAGTTCTTAAAAATCTCAACTTGACCAGATATGAAACAATTTAAAAACCTTTAAAGGTGTATTGAGAAAAACCAGGCTTTTTTTAAAAAACACGTTTGTCATTACCAAAAAGAGACGTCTTTAGGTAAAAATAATAAAAACCCCATGCTGCATAGATAATGCAGATAGTTCTAGTTATCTGGTCAATGGGCAAAAAGCAAGCACTTAAGGTCTTCAGTTCCCAATCTTTTGTTCATTTCTTATTGCTGGAATTTCATATTCGTTTCTTCTTGCTGGATGACTAAACCGGATGATGGTAGAGATGTTAAGCCGGTATTTACTCAGCCCCGCCCTGCTCAGCCTCGGGAGCGGACGAATTCTCAGCTGGTGGATCGGCTGCTTTAGTCTCTTTGCCATCTTGTGGTTTAGGGTTCTCTGGGCGTCTGCGTCGGTAATTGAAGTTGCGCCGGTACCGACGTTGAGGTGGCTGCTGACCTTGGGTCTCATCTCCTTGATTTTCTTTATCCTCTTCATTGCCGTCCTCTCTAGGCTGTCTTTGGCGAGGAGGGCCCCTGCGGAATCGTGGTCTATAACCTCGATACATATTCTGTCTCACTTGTCTACCTTGCTCTCCTGCACCCTGGTTGTCAGCACCCTCCATCACTTCTCCCTGCACAGGAGGGTTGGAATACTGTGGTC